ATCTTCGCCCTTCCTTATGGTGTGTACTAAAATGTAAATCAGTGGATGTGTGTTTACCTAGTTGTCAATTGATGTGAATAATTTATATTTGCTATATATTAATACCCTGTTGTTGTTTTATAAATAAATCTTTTTGCATTGAAAATATAATTAAATTATCAAACTTAACGTATATTTATGTGTTAAAAGTAATTCGATAGTATTTTATATCTTTATTAATATTCGTATTCAAAGAGGGAATGATGCTACGTAAATGTAAACGTTAATAATTTAAACTCTTATTTATTGATTTCATTCGTAAAAATATTAAAATTATTAATTAAATTAATTTTAAGAATGTTTATTCTTAATTAGTAAACTTTATATTGCACCTTTCATTTATATTTTTTTATATTATATACAGAATTTATAAATTAAAATCTTTCACTTTGTACAGTAGATTTTATTTTTATTAAACTTCTATGATAAAAACTTCATTGAAATAAATAAAAAAACATACTTATTAAACAAAATTATACAAGTGTATTCAGAGGAGATATTGGCCGATTTTAAAAGGTCAAACTACACTGATACGGAAAAAACATCGTAAGTTTTAGATTTTACACCTACCATTATGTATATATTCAATGTTTATTGAAATATATTTAATTTCCACAAGTATTTATAACATGAGTCATCTCTTTTGTGTGTTTACAGTCTTTTGTAATTATTTATTATTATTAATTAATAATTATTAATTATTAATAATAATTAGCATTATTTTGTAAGAATTTAAAAAGTATTTATCGTTAGACAAATCATAAGAGGTAAAATGTCGTGTTTATAAATCTTTTCTATAAACTTATAATACGGGTTAAAAGATGAGAAAAAGCTGAAAAAGTTCTATGAAAGAAATTAGAAACAATCTTTCTGAATTAAAATAACTTCAGAAATTAAATGTCACAAACTTCTCATTTGATACCCGCTACTTCAATTAATTTTTAAAAGAGGATTTTATGAAACAGTCGTAAATAAGTATATTAGCCAGCTAGGTTTTAAATGCATTTCAACTTTTTCAATAGCCCTCTTTATGTAACCCGGACGAAGAGGGCTATAGTCTAATTATAACAATAAGACCAGCATGCTCGTATCGTTATTTACTACTATTTAATTAGTAAATAGAACAAAATAATTTTCATATAAGCTTTTAGTCTGTTAATCTGTATATTCTTATAGATTAACAGACTAAAAGTCTCTATCGAAAGAACTTTATGAACATTAACTAACACCCTTTACTATCTCCATGAACAAAGTTGCTATCTTAACAATTCTTAAATGCGTACTTTAGTTAGAAAATACCCTTTTAAATAAAAATTGAATAATTCGACCTGTTTTATGTACTAATTTTAGAAGCTCATGCTTCTATCATTTTAGAAGCATGAGTAGCATATGTAGATCATTGTAGCATTTTTTATATGGTGCGAAATGTAGCTATTTTTACATTAAAATTATGAATATGTGCAGATCTTTAACAATTTTTATGAAAACTCGTATTGTAAATAAAAATTAACCTACTAAAGATCAGTTAGTAGATAAAGTAAAGGAAGTTGTGACATCCCCATAACAACACGTGTACAATATATTAATCACACAAATATATATATATATATATATATATATTTCTGTTTAGTGCTAAATAAAACAGAAATATTTAAATGTTCTGTTTTAATTTTATGTAATAGGAGAGCAATAAGCGTAAGGAAAATTAATACAGGAAAAAATATATCGATATAATTACACTTCAGTATTAGTCATTGGAATATACAGTAATTGTGTCATCAATAGCACTAATTAAGCACGCAAGCAATCGGTAGCTTTCATGTTTGGTGTAGAGACGTTTCTAGTTTAGATTTTGAATCCATTTAATCCACAACAAAACCATCTTACAAGTAAAATTTAATAAAGTCTTATAGGATCTTTCATCTCCTCGCTTATTTATTTACTTTTTCATTTTCATCTGTAAAGTTTTACAGATTGGAAAATACTTCTATAAATTGGAAAATACGTCTACATTTGATAGGCATTGATGAGAGATGTGCATTTTTAGAAATATAAAATCGATTCATGACGTTTATGAAAATCATAATATGGTAACAGAAAAAAAAATGAGGATGTCATGAAAGCTCAGAAAAGTTCAAGGAGGCCACACCTAAAAAACGGTTTAGAATAAATGGTTTAAAATATGTAAATTTTTTATGTGCAGAATCTAAAATTATAATTAATTTTGCAATGTATTTTACAAAATACATATTTATTACATATATATATATATA